CAAGATGAAGAGGCTTTTATTTAGATAGTTTTAGGACATGATAGTGGATCATGTCTCTTTAAGAGACCAATTTACATTTCTTTTATAATTCTTCTATGAATAACTACTATTCTAAATAAATCTTTAAACTATTTACTGGCCCTGTTATGCAAACCGATTTTATGCATAACGATTTATACATAATGATTGTATGTGTAATGATTTATGCATAACGAATTTATGCATAATGAAATAACTTATATTTGTAAATAAATAAAGAAAAAAAATCTATACTAAGAAAAATAACTTAGTAGTGGCCATGATGCGAAGGGTTCAACTGTGTCATGTGACCACGTGACCATACGGAACGTTGAACCTAAAATATTATTATTTTATACTTCCTCCTTCTTCAAAAATGCGAGGTCTTCCAAGCAATTTAACTAGTAAAATAAGAGGTTTAAACTATACCAAAATAATAAATACATAAATAAAAAAAAAATAAAAAAAATAAAAAAAATACAATATAAGAGAATACTTATCGAAAATAAAATTTCAGTTAAAATTCTAACTCTACATGAATTTTCAAATGTAGTATCTTATACTGCAATCACTGCCTAACTATCGGTGTATCTGTGTATTGCCAGCCATAAGCATACTTTATCTAATCTATTCCCAAAAGTAAAAACCTTAAAATTAATCCAATTTTAAACAAGCATTACCTTCTATTCAAAATTTTTTTTTTCATCGTAATTACTCGACCTCACAGATGAGTTTTTGTTCTTTCTTTGCTTCCTTTCGCTATGCGTATTACTTTATCACTTTACTAATTTATTTATTTTTTCTTTATTAGGGCCTTTCTTTTCTTATAGGGGCTTTAGTTAACTTGTTCTTTCGTCTCGACTGATGTCATCCACGTGATCGTCGATTATCTATTGATTGATGATCCACAGTCATTGCACGATTAATATCTACTCGATCCATTTTTTAATTTATTACTGTATTACTTATTCTCTTAGTGCCAAATGTGGATTCGAAATAAGATCTCTTCCAGCACTTCTTTTAGTAAACCAAGGTCTTTTCTTTCTTACTGGTATCTATCACAATCGTTAGTGTCCACGTACTTTAATAAGGCCTTTCTGGTAGTGCTTCGACTGAAGTCTTGCGATTTAGGTGAGCTTAAAAAATAAAGTTAGGTATATCTTTTCGGAGTCTCCATTCTTTCTTTTTTTTTTTTTTATTTTCTTGATCCATTTATTTCCTCTTTTTCTTTTCTGGCCCCTTCTTTTTCTATCTTTATTCCCTTTTCGTCCATTTACTGTTCTATCCTTTTTCACAGTTTACTCTTCCGGATCCTTGTGATGCGAAATTCTTAAAGCTTGTTCGGTAAGTAATCTTTCTATTATTCAGATCTTTATTATCATTTCTTTGGTTCTTATACTAGAATTTTGGGGTTTGAGTTACTTGAGTTCATTATTGCAGGTTTTTAATAATAATAGAATGCTTTGTTCTATCAGGAAATTTTTTTATTGCAGTTCTGCACAGATTTGCAAAAAAATTAAATAATAAATCAAATAAAAATCTGCGCAAAACCTCAAATTTGATACTATAAATGCAGAAATTAGATACAATTCTGTACAAAACTTCAAATTCTAAAAAATTTTGCATATTTTTTATAACAATTCTTCAAAAATCTGCAAAAATACAGATTTTTGCAAATTTGCACTTATTTAAATTTCCCGATGGCATATTTTCTTTGGTGCAAATCCTATTCTGATTGCAACGTTCAAGGTCTAACGTTTTACTTGATTTCTTTTGATTCCACCCCGTAGCAATATTCAGAAGCATATATTGCATTAGCATGACTTATCTTTGCTGATCTTTTATACTTTTACTTCATCATATTTGTGACTTGTTATCGGGACTCTTAGGTTTGTCTTTGATTTTGTCATTCTTTACTTGAGCTTCACTGCTAGGATCGGTTTGTTCAGTTTTTTTTTTTTTTTTTTTTATAGCTGCTTTCATATAATATTCCAAAGCCTTCTTTTCATTTTTCCTTTATACCTATTCTATATTTATAACAAAAACTAACATCTTTAATCGTAGAACTTCGGGATCTCTTTTTGGAACGTCAGTAGGATCTTGTTTTAGAAAAGTTCAGAATGCCTTAGCTATAAAACAGTCGTATCCTTTTTCCCTTTTTTTTTTTTTTTTTCACTATTTCCATTTTTTTTTTTTTTTTATCGTTTATCCATAGTTTCTTTTATTACATCAGACTGTGCTATTTCCAAGCATACATGTAAAAGTGGATATAAAGCACAGGACATTGTTCTATTCTAAGTTAATGAGCAAAGCATTGAAGATAAATTGGTAAAAACAAAAAAATTGTAACTAAATGTAAGAGACTATGCGTAGTTGCATATAAGTGGATGTTTGTAGAGCCGGTGTATCCTTTTACATGTTTTATATTTTGTTTTTCGTTCATATATTTATTGGGGCAAAACGTTATTATAAAAGAATGATAAATTCTTATTTTTCTAATATTTTCTTTGTAAAATACGAGTTTTAGGCAGAAGATTTGGGACACAAAAGTACGAAGCCACATGTATCGGATTATGAACGTATGAACTGGGACTCTTAGAAGTGGTGTATCCTTTTTACAAATATGTGTCTTTGTTTTTTGCTTTTGTTAACTTTATCCTACTAACATTCACTTTTAGAATATTAGGTAGAAGTATGGGACGTGAAGTTGTCTAAGCGAAACATATAGGGTGTAACGTATGAATCAGAGTATGAATATGGGAAATGGGTATAATTTGGGACATAGCTAGTTTTAAATTATAAGACATAGCCATCTTCGGGTTGAATTTCTTCGGGTAGGCGACCTGGGTCCTGTCGTCGTCATCAAATGTAACCGAAATAGTTGGTTATAGGGTTGGGTTAGGTCTTTGTTAGAAGAAATATCAAGATGAAGAGGCTTTTATTTAGATAGTTTTAGGACATGATAGTGGATCATGTCTCTTTAAGAGACCAATTTACATTTCTTTTATAATTCTTCTATGAATAACTACTATTCTAAATAAATCTTTAAACTATTTACTGGCCCTGTTATGCAAACCGATTTTATGCATAACGATTTATACATAATGATTGTATGTGTAATGATTTATGCATAACGAATTTATGCATAATGAAATAACTTATATTTGTAAATAAATAAAGAAAAAAAATCTATACTAAGAAAAATAACTTAGTAGTGGCCATGATGCGAAGGGTTCAACTGTGTTACGTAACCACATGACTATATGGAACATTGAACCTAAAATATTATTATTTTACACTATTGCTTTAAGTATGCTAAATGGTTTAATCTAATTATTTAGAATTATTACTTAGATCTGTTGATTAATTCTCTTTTTTTTTTTTTTTTTATCTTGGATATATTGTATAATTCTTTAATTCAGATAAGTATTTATTTGATCTCTTAATTTGGTTTGGTTTAATGGAGAAAATTTATGTTCTGCCTCTATTTAATTATATTTTATTCACTAATCAGCTTCATAGTTCTTTACTATTTAGTTTACTTTATTATGCCAACTCAGATAAATACAATAAGGATTTAGATCTGAGCGCTTCGAACAAGCTACTCTTACATAAACACTTCTGTACTTACTACCCAGTTTATTTTTTTTTCACACTATAATTCGCTTTGACCTATTGCTTTAAGTATGCTAAACATTTTAATCTAATTGTTTAGAATTATTACTTAAATCTGTTGATTAATTCTTTTTTTTTTTTTTTACCTTGGATATATTGTATGATTCTTTTTAATTCAGATAAGTATTTATTTGATCCCTTAATTTGGTTTAGTTTAATGGAGAAAATTTATATTCTGCCTCTATTTAATTATATTTTATTTACTAATCAACTTTATAGTTCTTTACCATTTAGTTTACTTTATTATGCCGACTCAGATAAATATGATGAAAATTTAAATCTGAGTACTTTAAACAAGCTACTCTTACGTGAACACTTCTGTACTTACTACCCAGTTCTTTTTTTCTATACTATAATTTGCTTTGACCTATTGCTTTAAGTATGCTGAATGTTTTAATCTAATCATTTAGAATTATTACTTAGATCCATTAATTAATTCTTTTTTTTTTTTTACCTTAAATATATTGTATGATTCTCTTTAATTCAAATAAGTATTTATTTAATCCTTTAATTTGGTTTGGTTTAATGGAGAAAATTTACATTCTGCCTCTATTTAATTATATTTTATTCACTAATCAGCTTCATAGTTCTTTACTATTTAGTTTACTTTATTACGCCAACTTATATAAATATGATGAGGATTTAGATCTAAGCACTTTGAACAAGCTACTCTTATATGAACACTTCTGTACTTACTATCCAGTTCATTTTTTTACACACTATAATTCGCTTTGACCTATTGCTTTAAGTATGCTAAATATTTTAATCTAATTATTTAGAATTATTACTTAGGTCCATTGATTAATTCTTTTTTTTTTTTTTTACCTTGGATATATTGTATGATTTTCTTTAATTCAGATAAGTATTTATTTGATTTCTTAATTTGGTTTGGTTTAATGGAGAAAATTTACGTTTTGCCTCTATTTAATAATTATATTTTATTCACAAATTGGCTTTATAGTTCTTTACTATTTAGTTTACTTTATTACACCGATTTAGATAAATATGATGAGGATTTAGATCTTATGTAAACACTTCTGTACTTACTACCCAGTTCATTTTTTTTTCACACTATAATTCGCTTTAATTTAAGTATGCTGGATGTTTTAATCTAATCGTTTAAAATTATTACATAGATCTGTTGATTAATTCTTTTTTTTTTTTACTTTGGATATATTGTATGATTCACTTTAATTAGATAAGTATGATTATTATTTTGACGAATGTTTATTGTTTAATTTTACTTTTTAATTTAGTGTTATACTAAAATTTATCAATTTAATTCTATTTTTTTAAAACCTGATAACTTTATATAATTAAATCGGATATTCAAATTCACATCTGGTGTAAAATCTGCATCAGATTTTAATCTGAATTTATTGTTGTTTTTATATAAGCATCTTCTTATATAATATATAATAATTAACCAATTGGGGTTTTGAAATTAATGATTCGACGTTTAATTTCAAATAAAAATTAGTGGTGTATTTATTTCAAAAGAAGCAATATAAAATTCTATTTTTTTTATTTTTTTTTATATACTTATTTACATAATCACTTTTTGTAAACTTAATTAATTTCTAAGAATAGAAATATTTGAATTTAATTCAAATCTGAAGAAGATCAGATTTAAATTTAAAGATCTGATCCAAATATATATGCCTTCTATATACACTTTCTCTTATTCAAATCTAGTTCCAAACTCTAATTGAGTATCAAACTAAATTAGTATCGTGATCATATGCATACTGACACAAGCTAATTGATAGTACATGCTTCTAATATAATTTAGTAGTATTATTAATCAAAATATAAATATATAAAGAGTATATATTGTTATTGTCACCCCATTTTTGTTAGTGCCACCTCAGATATCAAAAAGTGCTTCGGAAAAGGTATTTTCATTAAGTAAACTCTTATTTTGGTCTTAATAGAAGTTGTTCATTAGGCCTTTCCAGTTCTAATGATAGTAAAATCATTAAAATCGGATTAGTAGGTCCTAAGATATATATATCCGAAGTTAGTTAACTTTTATTTACTTTTAAAAATAACTTTTGGTCTAATTTTAATGATTTTGCTATTATTAGAACTGGAAATGCCTAATGAACAACCTTTATTAAAATCAAAATAGATTTACTTATTAAAAATACCTCTTTTGGAGCACTTTTTAAATTTTGAAAGGTGGCATTAACAAAAATAGAGTAGCAATAACAACACTCTATATATATTTAAATATCCAAATTTAACCACTAAATAAATAAGTATAAAACTTATCTTTGATTTCAAGTCTTGCTTTATATTTATTCTTTAAAACTTTATATATTTATATTATTCAAATAATAATAAATTTGTATAATATTATCTTTGCTTCTAACTTTTACTTTATATAAGTTGTTTTTTTTTTTATATTAAGGTGACTACTTAGGCCTTTGGCACTTTATTAGTTCAAGCGAGTAGGCTGATACTAGTTAATTTAACACCGGCTTTACATATTACATTAGTATCATAAGAGTACAAATAGCTACACGTGCACCTTTTAAGTGTCTAATTTAAGTAGTCCACCCGAAGGTTCTATACTCTCTGCTGTACCTGTATTCCAACTAGGGGAGTACCCATTTAAACTCTCTGGCTTCAACTGACATTACATGTTTCCTTCTAATATACCCCTTTACAGAGTAATTTACCATTAAAGACTCTAAGACTTTAGCCATCAACCTAATTTGGAAGGCATTTATCCTTGTAGTAAACCTAACAGAGTGGTGCATGTCCTACACATGCGCTCATCTGCATGTTCAGTAACTTCTTCCTAACTAGTACCTGTTGTATTGCTGCTACCGGGTTTGTATCTCAAGCCAACTTTTGGGGTGCTGCCGTAACCCAATTCATATCTCAAGCACAACCTTCCTAATTAGTCACTCATTACATACTTTTTGCCCTTATAAGGTTCACAGCAACCCTGGTACCCGCATTCAAGCCATCTTCTTACCCAGATTCTTTATCAGTTTCTTCTTTACTTCCAGCCGGCAACTCAGATGGGTTGGTCTGCCCAGGCTTTAGGTGCTTGAAGAACGCCCTTCCCTTGGTCCATACTTTCAAAGAATATGTCCTTTTTCTCTGGTGCAACAACCTGGCAGTTCGGCTAGTGTGTCCTCCGCTAGCAAACCTGGTTACTCGGTTCTCCAATCTCAGGCCCGGTTCGAATTCAGCCTTCTTGTAATATCGTCGAAGATCACTGCTACTCCCAATTCGGGACTTGCCAAATGGGTTTTTGGTTATGCCGGTTCCTCAAATTTATTGCACCAAAGCTTCCATTACAAGATGGTGTGACCAAAGTTACAGATTAGTTCTAGATCCAACTGATAAGCATAGCCATTAACCGAAACACAAGCCTATTTTTTAAATATCGTCGTCCGTGGGATTTAAACTCTAGACCTGCCACTTGGAAAGGTTGACAACTAGACCACTACACTAACTTTATATAAGTTGTATTATAATCAAAGCTTATTAATATATATAATTTAATATTTTTATATACAGTATTTATACTTTAGTTATAATTTTACAGTATTATTATTATATTTTGTATTTAACAATAATTATATTAACAATATCTATTTAAACTGTACTTTTTGATTTTGTTTAAAAATTTATTATAAAGTAATTAATAATTTAATTAGTAATTATATATATTATCTCTCTATATAATCACGCAGTTGAACACACCTTAATGTGGTGATTATAAAGAGGTGTAACTATATAAAGATACCTCTATATAAGCACAAATTATAATTAATATAAAAAAAGTAATTTAATAGAGGTATTTTAAAAATTTTATAAATAGTTACTATATAGAAAAGTTTTAATTTTACTAATTAAATCAATATTTATATAATAATAAAAGTTGTTTAGAAGAATAAAATACACCTTCTCTAAAATTTTCATACAAATCAGATAACATTTTATTAGTACATATTTTTATTTTACGTATCTACAAATATAGCTAAAAAATTTTAATTGTTTTTTTAAGAAATGTAAAATAAAAAAACATATTAATAAAAGATTAACCGATTTACATGAAAATTTTAGAGTAAGTGCATTTTGTTCTCTTGAACAATTTTATTATTGCTTAGTATTATTTTGACTTTTATATATAGCAACAATCAATGATCGTATATAAAATTTTTATAAAAATTTTTATATATGATTATTGATCATTGCTATATATAAAAGTCAAAATAATACTAAGCAAATCGTTTATTATGCAATAATAAAAGTTGTTCAAGAGAACAAAATGCACTTACTCTAAAATTTTTACATAAATCGGTTAATCTTTTATTAATATGTTTTTTTATTTTACGTTTCTTAAAAAAAAATTAAAAGTTTTTAGCTATATTTGTAGATACATAAAATAAAAATATGTACTAATAAAATGTTATCTGATTTCATGAAAATTTTAGAGAAGGTGTATTTTATTCTTCTAAACAACTTTTATTATTACATAAATATTGATTTAATTAGTAAAATTAAAACTTTTCTATATAGCAATTATCTATGATGTGATTGTAAAGAGGCAATTTTATTATTAAAATTACCCAACAAATTTTATAAAAATGTGATAGTGATTATAGCATAATTGTGACTATATAGAGGTGTTTTTATCATTAAAAAAATGGTATAATATTTTAGTGTGATTATATAGAGTTAGTGACTATATGGGGTGATTATATGGAGGTATGACTATATATTAAATTTTTTTTTTTTTTTTTTTTTTTTTTTTTAGCAATCATGCTACATGCCTATGCTTTATTGATCATTAATTAAATCCAAAAAAAAAGAATACATTTAAAGATACGAGTATGTAACTCACCTGGTTACTTATATAGAATATCTAAATATTCATGCACTTGTGTGCAACCTGCCAAAGATGATTTTAATCTTCCCAGTTTGGTTCAACCTGCATCAAGCCGACCGCTCCGGTTCACTGATCTGGTTCATCAGCCTGTCATGTCTGCCTTCTTTCCCAACCTTCTTTTTCTAGCCTCCTAGATAGAAGAATTCTACCAAAGAACAATGGAAAATTTACGAAATAAAAGGAATAGTAAAAAGAGGTGAAAATTTAAACTAAACGAAAACAAAAAACAAACAAAAGAAAAAATGAGAAAATGAGAAAAAGGATAAAAAAAAGGATGGCCATGACGGCACTATTTTTGCCTGTGCAAGGCTACATAAATTATATAATGATGTATAGAATAAAATCTAATCTAACACTATATGTAATAAAAGAAGTAGAAAAAAAAAATAAAAGAAAACATCTAACATTAAGAAATTTTTACATATAATTCCTTCGATCTCCTATACTGTGAACAGTACTACCATCATTGTTTATTTGGCAAAGCATAATTCAAATAAGCTTGTGAGAGGTTCCATTTCGGTAAACATGTTCTAATTTGGAAGGAGTAAACACTGCTGATCTTTTAGAGGAGTATGCCGGTTTTCTCACTTTTTGGCAAAAATTTCAAACAAAATTCCAAAATAGCAAAAATATGTTAGAAGGTCTTTGGTTGCAAGTACTTTCAAAACTTCTAAAAAGTGTGTTAAAATTCAAAACTTTTGTTGTTTCCTTGTGTTCTTCTTTGAAGTAACGGCCTAGAACTTTGTCGACGAAGTAGTAGCCTACTATGTAACTTATTTCCTTCACCAAGATTTTTCATACAAGAGCACTCGGGTGGCAACTTCCTGCCAGTTATCTTGTATAATAACGCTCCTGGCTTGCATGCCGAACATCCTTTAGAGGAGTCCCCAATAGGAAAAGGTTGACCTCTAGACAAACCGCACTGTAGAGCCACGTCTCTTAAACAAAAGTTTTGTTTTTCATTAGTTGAAATTTTGGTACAAGTGATCATCGTGTATATTAAATTTTTAACTTTTATAGTTTATTATATTTATTGTATAATTTTTTGTTTTTTAGATAATGGCAATATCTTCTAATAGCTCTATATTATCAAAAGAACATCAAAAGCAACTTAGTTATAAGCGCCAAAAATGGTTTAGAAATAAGAATAGAGAAACTACATATTTATCTACTAATACTTCTGAAGAACTTCAATATTTACTTAATACTGAAGTTCCTATAGTTGTAATTGAAACTGGTAAAACTCCTGTTATAGATACTGATTTTGGTTCTGATTCTGATAATCTTTCACCTTTACCTAATACTAAAGTTCCTACAATTACTAATCTTGAGTTTACTAATACCCAAAGTAATCCAAGTTCTCATTATGATAAAACCAAATATTATATTATAAATAGAATAGATCAGATCTGTCGATATTGTAAAGCTAAGTTTTGGATTATTGAAAAAAATCAAAATAGTAAGCATGCCGCTCTGAAATTTCCTCTTTGTTGTGCTAATGGCAAAGTGCAATTACCACCTTTACTTAAACCTCTACTCTATTTATTAAATCTTTATACTTTAACTAATTTTGATGTAGTTGAGTTTCGTAAACATGCTAGAGATTATAACAATGCCTTAGCTTGTATATCTTTTGGTGCTAATATAGATAATCAATTTTTGGGATATAGTATATCAAATTTTCGGATTCATAGTCAAGTTTATCACTTAATCAGATCATTATTATCAAATGAAGATCACACACCAGCATTTGCTCAAATATATATTATTTTTTATTTTTTTTATTTTTTATTTCTTCGGCAAGTCTAGTCATAACTTGGTCCAGCTATTTTATAAATGACCCTATGCTACTAGTGCCACAGGACCTCCATAATCCCCATACAGGTATCATGTGTATCCACCTGGAATCTATTGTTCAACATTTCTCCGGTTCTCTCATTGGGGCCTAGATCTAACCGCCTGCACAACACTCCGGAGAGGTCAAAACACCTTAATATTAAGCCAGAATTTCACAAGCCAATCCGGTGGCACTACAAGTTCTTGTAGTATCTTCTCAAACTTCGGCCTCACAGTATGTCTCATGACTTCGGTTATTTCAAATCGGGGTTCTAACATGCCTCGCTTCACAGCCACAACTTCTCGGAATAACTATTTCTCGAATACGTCTATCCGTAGATGTCCCGAGTTCCCTGTACCTGCGGTGTTTCACTTCCATATTTGGGTTTTCATTATTTCGCCACTGGGAGGAATTGAACCGACAACCGTCCAATTTGCAACCTGGGAGCATAACTGCTATGTTATCGACCCACAGGTCTGAATATATATTTATGATACTGCAAATAAAATCACAAATCATTATAATGTAATGCAGAAATTAAATGAAAAATATTTTATAGAGTTTACAGAATATGTTAGATATTTGCAACCCATATATTCAAAATTTTCATCAGATAAGAGATATTATACGTGATAATGCAATTACTGAAATTTCAATGATAATTCATAGTAATAGAAATCAAGATATTCGTCATTATAATGCTCTATCAGCTCCTAATATAGCTGCAATAATGGTAGGTGAGGGTTATGAAGTAATCCAACAAATCGTGACATTCTTCTTAGAACACATAATGAAAATTTGCAAAAAATAGCAAAGGTTTATCCTTCATATAATCCACTTCACTATGTATTATTATTCCCTAAAGGTGATGATAGATAATACACAAATATACTACTTATAAATACTTTAAAAAGAAAACGAGTAACAACTATACAATTTTATACTTATAGATTACAAATTAGAGATAGTGATTGGATACAGCATGCTGGCTGTTTATATCAACAATATATTGTTAATCAGTATGCTAAAATAGAACAAAATCATTTAATTTATCTTAAGCATAATCAAACATCACTTCGTGCTAAATTTTATCAAGGTATTATAGATATAGTACATGCTAGAGATTGCAGTAGTACTATTGGTTGTCGTATAATCCTTCCATCATCTTTTACAGGTAGACCACATCAAATGTATCAATTATATCAAGATGCAATAGCAATTATTACTTACTTTGAAAAACCAGATCTTTTTGTCACATTTACATGTAATCCTAAATGGCTAGAAGTTACTAAAGAATTATTATCTCATCAAAATGCTGCTGATAGGCCCGACTTAACAGCCCATGTGTTTCATATAAAATTACAAGCACTATTAAAAGATTTGTATAATAATCATTAGCTTGGTAA